ACATCTTACATATTGATCCACTTGATAGAAGGTGCAAAACTGATTCTGTAAATTTGTTTTGCCATGATATTGTGAATAGGAAAGTCTATTTGGCCTCCCAATGAGACCACTGAGTAAAACTGTCATGTAGGATTGCACTTTGCATTTCTGTTCTCGTCAAAAAGTACAGGTCGGTGTTGATGCAAGAAATTTGTGCTTAGAATTTCTGAGCTAATTTGAATAGTTTTGATAGGATGAAGAAATATTTATAATATGCAATGTGCCATTATGAACTTTAACGCTTTGCAAAATTAGATTTTATTGTCAATCCCAGATATCTGTGAGGGGGGAAAACCACTGAAGATCATTCAAGCATGGCACTGTAAAAATAACGCATGCTATTTAAGTTGTATTATTTGCACAATATCAAACAAGAATGCACTTTATCATTTTTCAGATCCAAATGATGACACAAAGGCAGTGGGCAAATCATATTTGTTTTTATAAACATGCAGTTTTAAAGGAAGTTGTATATATCTGTCTATACTAGGATAAGCATTATATATATTCCAGATACCTCAGGACCGGCTTGTTTTTGGCACTGAAGTTGCCCAAAAAGTGCATGGCACTTTTTGGGTGATTGACAGCAGCATCTTCCATCCTCAAACCCATAACTGCTAAAAGGAAGTTGACAAACTTTTGTGTAATTTGTGTGTGCTACTGCAAAGATGTTGGATCTCGTTCATAGACCATCAATGCATCAAATGGCAAAAGTGTACATTTTGTTTCACATCAACTGACACCATTTCTTATATCTCACACTGCTTGCATACATCGTGCTTGCATAGAGATTGTTCTAGGTGCAAATTGTGCATGACCCTTGACCTTAGCCTGTGTGTTTGTAATAATTGGCCTGTGAAATGTTTCTGTGACCTTACCTATCTACCAACTGCAGCTGTGCATTTTCCATTTTCTTTCGTTTTCAGTTTTCTAGGCTGTTGAATATTTACATTTTGTACAGTTTAAAATGCATCAATAAAATGTATTTAATAGTTTGAGTATATTTTAATTTCAGACAATTATTTTTCAAATCAAGTGTCAAAGTGCAAATACTGTGCCAAAAATAAAATCATCGATGTGCATAATAATGCATTTAGGGATGCCATTATGTAATTTTCTGGTCAAAAATGGTTTCATAACGGATTCAAAAAATAAATGGATATGATTTTGAATGCAAACCTCTTTAGAAAGAATTAAATTGTTGAAAGTCAAACGACCACATATCAGTCAACCACATACATTTTTCGTTAGTAAAAACAATGAAAAATTGTACCGCCCGAACAGGGACTTGAACTCTGGACCCTCAGATTAAAAGTCTGATGCTCTACCGACTGAGCTATCCGGGCTACAACGAAAAAAATAACGCCCCCATTTTTCACCAAACCGTTTGTTCATCATCATAAACCTATCAAAAAACAACAAAGAAATGATAGACATACACAATATACATCAACAATACAATATAATCAAACGCTCAACTTGAGTTGAACTACAGCAGCAAGCACGGTGGTAACACTAGCACTTAGAAGAGTGTAGTGTAAAAAAAGAGTTTCCTAATTTTTATCAAAAATAATAACCACAATCTGGTTTGAGATTTTGAAAAGATCTCCAAGTATGTGCCTTAAACTTCGCAATCGATTACATTCGTCTGTATTTAAACTATTCAGAACGTCATTTCAACGCATGCGCGGTGGCATATCCCCGCGCGGTGTTTAGAAACTGGCAAATTTTGTTAAATTAATCTAACACACACACACACGCAGTATTAGAACGTGTATCAATGATCTACTACACACCACTCAATTTTCAGTCGGATCCAGATGGCGTTCATGCACCGCGCCAGATTTACCTCACATTGTGACATAAGTTAAAACATTTTTGGGATCCTCAACCCAGAGCCATGTTCAACCAAATGTCCAAAACCAATCCTATCAAGAAATTTGAACAAAAAACACTAAACTAAACATTTTTTAAATAAATGAACACATGTTGTCAAAGTTGAAATTGTAACTTAATGGTCAGACACTAGCAGGCGTCACTTATTAATATTGACCAAAATCAAGCTCAGATGGAGTAACGAGGATTTTGACCAGCGAATCTCGGACATACTGTAGGCCTTATGGCGGCTCCAATTCTCGTCTCGTCCAATTCTCCTCTTATATTCTATAATAAGCTGCCTGCCTGTCTGTCTATCTATGCCCACCACCACCCCCTTCACTAGGATGGACACTATCTATCTATCTATCTATCTATCTATCTATCTATCTATCTATCTATCTATCTATCTATCTATCTATCTATCTATCTATCTATCTGTTTGTCTGTCTGTCTATCCATCTATCTATCTATGCCTCCCCCTTCACTTGGACTATCAATCTAGTAGAAAGATAGATAGATAGTCCTTCCTAGTGAAGGGGTAGATAGATAGATAGATAGATAGATAGATAGATAGATAGATAGATAGATAGATAGATAGATAGATAGGACTCTATCTATCTATCTATCTATCTATCTATCTATCTATCTATCTATCTATGCATTATGCCTATCTTGTTCACTTGGACTATCAATCTATCCTCTTGCTCGTTAACATTAGCCGTTTCCACCGTCAGGCCGAACGGTTCTCATTCCGTGCCGATCTGGGCCAGCTGGAAGGGTTGCGGTTTCCGTGTGTCAGAGTCGCGGCAGATCTTTAGAATGTATACAAACACATCAGTCGTTGCCTTGGTAACGCGACGATTACGTAAATAATGACGCGTTATGGAGAATGGTCAGCTATCACTTTTAATTTTATTACTAATTTGTTTGTTTACTTCGCTACAGATACACAGGCAACAGACAAGTGACATTTGAGTAGAGATCGCGGTTATGAAGGAGCGTAACATTTCCCGAACACGCGCTAAGCGCTGCCAATCAACGCACACTGGGCCAGCTGGGCCAATCACAGCACATTTCTTATTTCGGAAGGAGGGGCTTCATCGAAAACGATGCAATCATCCCTATTTTATAGGGAATCATCCCTATTTTAAATTTTATTATTATTATTATTTTAGGTGTATGGCTCAACCAGAATGTGGATAGAGGAGCTGTAATAATTTTGTGAACAATCAGGCATGCAAACTTATTCTAGTACACCTCTAAAACAAAATCAAGATTTCGTAAAAGGCCACAATAGGACCCCTTTTGAATAGATGACCTACAGTGATCTGCTTCCACCTACAGTTTACCTAATAGGATGCACGCAGCCATAGACACCTATCTACCGCTAACGTTACAGTCTTTTGGCATCGACGTTATAGTGTTTTGTTCGTCATTAGAACGGTCGCATCAGAGGCTGCAAGTGCATCGCATTACTCTTTCATCAACTTACAGGTTATAAAGTGTGTAAAGCTATGTTATGTATGTGGGTGCTCAGATTTTTTGCTTCAAAAAATCAGTTTTTCGTTTACCTTTACATTGTAAACAAGCAGAGACGTCCGAACTCCGTGCGGCACAGAAGCAGGGCGGAGTTTTGAGGTTTTGACTGACAGTTTGCGGATCCAATGGAGTTGCAAGGTTTAGTCTCAAACTCTTTTACATACTTTTCATTGGTTAATATTTGCAAAACCCGGCACAGACAGACGTAAAGGTTGACCAATAGTAATGATTTTGACGCAAGGATGCTCGTCCATTTCCGGTTGTGTAGATTAAAGCGGAGGAAAACGGAAAACAGAGAGTCTTCAAAATTTACTGTCCTCCCATCTTTGAAACAAAACGTACATACGTTCAGATGTAATTTTATATATAGTTATGTTTATTTAATATAATTTTAAAAAGAAGCATAAACACAACAAGGGGTGGTTTTATCTGTTTTTGTGACTAACGTCTCTTTAGTATAACCATGGAATATAAAATTCAATATAAATTCTGGGTATTGCATTGGACTCTACGATCGGCGGAAGTTATCGAGCATCCTTACATCTTCACCGGAATTACCGCCGAGCCCATTAGAGTAAAATAACAAATTATTTTTCATTGTAATTGGAGAGAATTAGTACAGACACGCGAGACATTTGTGTATTGTGCCAACTTGCATTAATCAGTCCTCCTCATCATTATAACTAAAAAACGAACGCGTAAAACCGGCTTCATTACTTAGTGTAAAAAAAAAAAAAATCGCTTCTCATTGGTTTACTCAGTTTTCCTTTCATTATTAACCATTTTATATGCATCATATGCTTGCAAAGTTAAGTGTTTGTTACTAAAGCCTGCTAGATATCTCGAGCAGTCGCGCGACTCAATCTCAGTGATGTCATGAGTACAGCCAATCATAGCAACGCATGGGTTGAGGACACCAGGTAAATCTTACTTTTTCTTTTCTTTTTTGCATTTTTTTTTTCTCAGAGCAGATCGTCGAGCAAACAGTGTGCAGCACTAGTTTCTGTCTGACGTCCATATTCGCGTGTTGTGTTCTTCTCTGCAGTTTCGCGTCATTTCTGGTTCGTTTTATTGCGTGGTTTTTCGTGACAAAACATGGTTTCTAGACCAGATAGAATCGTGTTGTTGTCAACTCGTTATTTGTTTGATTATTTTCAGGATTTAGACCGTACTATAGTACTGAAACAGCTCTCATTGAGTCACAAATGATATGCTCTTATCATCCGATCGTGGTTGTATCTCTATGTAGTGCGTTGTTAACTCGTGTAGTGAGTCACCTCCTGTTGTGGATCAATCACGTTGTGTTGTGTGGTGTGAACAGGTAAACAACTTGAACACTCATGATTTCACTGAGAGCAAGTCATGTAGTGTGAACTGCACAGTTCAGCCTGACATTTTAAAATCATGTAGTGTGAACTAGGCTTAAGAGGTCCAACAGAGGGTTAAAATGTAAAGCATGCATTAAATTTAGTACAATGAAGAATAATGATGTAACTTTAGAAGAGCTACTCCAAGTATTTTAATAGAAATGACACAAATCGCAATTTAGACTAAAATATTTATTGATTTTTATAGAAATACTGTCCATAAAAAAGCTACATAAAACATTTTACAAAAAATGTCCAACCATGTGCATTTAAACCGTGACATCCATTAAAAATCACAAATTCAAGTGCAAAAGTCTTAAATGCTTTCAGTGGACAACATGTAAATAAAAAAATATAAACTGAACATTTACAGACCAATCAAAATTGTTTACAAAAGTGAAAAAACAACTAAATAGCACTGGTTGCAAAAAAAAATAACACGTTATTGGTGACATTGTTTTAGCTAAAATGAAAATGTATGACGACAACAACAAAAAAACATTAGTAATTTAAACAGACTGGCACATGTGATCAGATTTCTTCATTCATCGGTCAGATTTTCTGGCATATGGAATCATTGGTGGTGAACCTGAAAAACATGAATAGAAATGACATCAGCCCTGCATATGCCTAACCCGCCAACCGCAGCACAAGGGAGTATACGTGCAGACGAACAGGCATGCACACCTCCGTGAAACAAGAATATCCAGAACGTGACTGATCACACAAGAGGGTGAATTTGTCTTTTGAACTCCGTTGACTGGGTGACATGGAAATCAGGCCAGACAGTCACTCACCTAAAGGCCGCATGGACCCCGGTGCCAAACAACTCAAATACAGCCAGGTTCTATTTTCTAGAAACCACTTCTGCCGAAAGCTCATGGTATCAGGGAGGCTATGCCTCCTGTCTGCTCTGGGGACTGTAAGATGGTAAGGTCAGAAGTCACAAATGGCCATTATTTCATTAAAGTTTTTGATCCCTTTACCTTCAGTGTTTAAAGGGATTACAGTCAAACAAAAATACTAACCATCTTGTGTAATCAGTTTCAAAAATAAGCTTCAAGTTTGTTTGTACGTCAATTCCACTACAATGTGAATGCAAGACCACAATTCAAGAATGAGGGGGTCAGTGCAATATTTTATATCTTCTGAAATATTCCGGTTTCATACAGCCAATAAATACATAATTCAAAATGTATATACTGTTTAACCCTCAAACCGTATTCACTTTATAGCCTGTAATCCTGTAATTGTGGACAAAAATGTGGGAACAGAGGACTCAGGTGTGATCCTAATTTAATTATTATAAATATTATATCACTGTCTTCGATAAAGTTTTGTCTATCCATTTATGGTGTTTATTTTTATTTTGGGGGTATTTTTGAATTTATTTACTTCAAAAAGTACCATATTTTCAATGTAAATTAATTACCATGTAGTTTTATCTTTTTTTTTTACTACATTAAAATATCACCCTCCATTCAGTTCTTAGAGCTAAAACCTAAAGATGAAATGACTTTGCTGTCACCTGGTGGCTTATTTTGGCTTATTTTAGAATGGTCTTAGAATTTTTCCCATTCATTTCTATGGGTGCCCATTTTTGACCCAAATACAAGATTAAGGAGTTTTTTTTCACCCACTTAACATTGTAGAATTGAGTCCAAAAACAAGTGTGTGTTCAGGAGGCAAACTTAGGAAAAGTAGCCAAGTCTTGTACCACTCAGATCAAGGGAAGTATTTTTTAAAAATAAATCAAAACTATTTTGGCCACATTTGCCCAGAATACGGAATTAGGGTTAAAAGCTTGCAGCCAGCTTTTGTTTTTTTACAGCATTAAATTTAGGTAAATTTCCACTGGCTTCATCCTACCTGGGTGAGCGGCTCCCAGACGGTGCTGGACAGTCTCCAGATGTTGAATATACTCCGTGAGGGAACGTTCCTGATCTTGGGAAGAGCTGAAGGAGTGTTCAGCTGGTCCTGGCACAGAACTTGTGTACATTCTTGGTGAAAGAGAATAGGAGAGAAGTTAAGTTACTAAATATATTTGCTTATTAGAAAGAAAAACAATCTACAAATTAAACAGACAAGAGTATGTTTTACAAGAAAATTCTGTTTCGTTCAATTCAGTTCAATGTTATGTGCCGTTTCTTTGTAAATATTTGTTCAAATTTCCAAGCAATATCTGAGTGAAAATTGTTTACACGATTTTTCTTTCAGTGTTGATCAACACCAGCCTGGATGCCAGCCGAACTTAGCAAAAGTTCGGAAAGTTCGGTCTGGACTTGATCCGTTGTGAAGCAAGTATGCCGAACCAAAGCTGTGTTCGGACCAATCAAATTGTCAGGGCGGACTTTATACGATGATGGACAGATGATCAACAGTATCGTAATCATCCACGTCACCAAAGAGCGCATGGGTTGAATTAGATTACAACAAAGAATGGCTGCCGCTGGAGAATTTAGACGTGTAGATTCAGCCATCGCGTCTGTTATAGAAGATGTAGACAGCGCATTCATTATAAAACAGGAACAGAAAACCGCAATCAAGGCATTTTACGATCCAATTGAATGCAGAGGCATTTTTTCATATTTTTTTTCTGGTTCGGTTGAAACACGCCTCATAAACACAGCCCAATGGAGCAGTATCAGACTTGCATTCGGACTAAAATCTGAATATGACGACATCAGACTAGATCGACACTATTGTGTAGTAAGAAACGTCACCTATTATTCAGCCTGAAGGGTGATTTGATAGGTGGCACAAGAGACGAGACCACACCCCTTTGAGTGAAGAAATGATCACGGCTGGGTGGAGAGTTGAACGCAACTCCAGTCTGCTGCGGCCTCAGCACTTCAGTCCTCAGAGCAGGAACTAAGAGAGAAGGAAAGGCGGTACATGAATGACTAATGATCCAAATCAAGCCTCTTAAATACTCCAGCTGAACAAGTGAATCATGTTACAGCTGACCTGTGCTTGGTCCTGTTCCATGCCCGTTAACGGTGGCACTGCCTGAGATTTTCTTTGTAGCTCTTTGCCATTTCCTAGTCAGGAACTTCAGTCTAAAAAAAGGTGGTAAGAAAATAAGTAAAATCACCAATTCATAGTTTTCAGTCACGTGACTTGCACAGAGGCAAGAGATCCACAAAATTGCCAATTTTACCAATCTGTTGCAAGCAACAAATATTTAATCACCTCTCAAAACCAAAAGGTTTTGCACATTTGTGATCCATAAACAGCACCTGCTGAAGTATTTCAATCACTAAAAACTCCAGAACATTCTAAAACGCTTACAGTCATAGTTCACCCAAGAGCAAAAATATACATTAACTACTCACCCTCATGTTGTTCCAAACTCGTAAGTCTTTCGTTCATCTCTGGAATACAAATTCTAATATTTTTAATGAAATCTGATCGATTTCGGTCCTTACATTGACAGTCTGCACAACTACCCCTTTGATGCTTCACAAAGTTTATTGAAAGATTGTAAAACTAATCCATATGAATTGAGGATTTAGTCTCTTTATGAACTTTTTGAAGCGACAAAGTGTTAGTTGCTTATACTGTCAATGGAGGGGCCGAAATCTCTCACATTTCATTAGAAATATCTTCATTTGTGTTTCGAAGATGAACGAAAGCATTCTTCATGGTTTGAATTTGAAACCACATGAGGTAAATGATGATAACGTACATTTTAGGGTGAACCACCCCTTTAACATGAAAAACAAAACAAGAACATAATAACAGTCTTATTAAAAGATCAAATTGAGTATACACCTTATTGATGATACACCACATACAGATGAGCCCAGAATATGAACAACATGTTAAATGGTTAAAAGGAGAACTCCGGCGCAAAATGAAACTTTGGTCTAATAAAACATTGGTACCTAGTCGACCGTTCTCTGAGTTTTGTTTTCATGATAATCGAATGTAAAGAGTTTTATCTCTAAAAACTGTTTATCGAATAATGCCAGTAATGGGGGCATTTAAGTAAAAAGAAATCGCTAGTTAATACCACTAACAAGGCTCAAAATAGCCCCACACTAACACAGTAACATAATGAGGGTCCCTACATGCAAAACAAAGTATTGAGAACTTTGTAAGTGTACAGACCATTTAATAAGAAGATACTTTATAGAGTCCATGTCGTGTATACACAGCAGGAGCCATCTTTGGAAAACTACCATGAACAAGACTGTTTTCTCCTGCCTGTATACACAAAGTGGACTGTCTTTATAAAACATCTTCTTATTAAATGGTCTGTACACTTGTGTACATTTATGTCTGTACATTTACATTCTGCGTTTATATTATGGGCTCATCTGCTTGATGATGCATCATCAATAAGGTGTATACTGAATTTGTTCTTTTAATATCACTGTCTTACAACATAAATACAAAAAAAAATAACTGGGGGAGAAAAAAAAAAAATGGAGGAAAGCCTTGTATTCAAGGACTAAGAAACTGAATAATTTTCCTGAGTCATAATCAAACTTCAAGCACATTTTTAAAGGATTAGTTCACTTTTAAAAAAACGTTTGCTGATAATTTACTCACCCCCATGTCATCCAAGATGTCCATGTCTTTCTTTCTTCAGTCAAAAAGAAATTAAGTTTTGATGAAAACATTCCAGGATTTTTTGGACTTCAGTGGGAACCAGACGGTTCAAGTTCCAAAAGAAACTTTAAGTACAAACTGCAAACTTGTTCAAAGGGCTTTAAACGATTCCAGACGATGAATAAGGGTCTTATCAAGCGAAACGATCGCTCGTTTTATAAATAAATAACAAAGTTTAAGTTTTATAAGCTCAAACGCTCACCTTGCTCTGTTCTGTAACGCCGTCTTTAAAAAACGATTTATCGTCTGGAATCGTTTAAAGCCCTTTGAACAAGTTTGCAGTTTGTAATGAAAGTTTCTTTTGGAACTTGAACCGTTTGGTTCCCATTGAAGTCCATTATATGGAGAAAAATCCTGGAACGTTTTCATTAAAAACCTTAATTTCTTTTCGACTAAAGAAAGAAAGACATGGACATTTTGGATGACATGGGGGTGAGTAAATTATCAGCAAAAGTTTTCTGAAAGTGAACTAATCCTTTAACTTTTAAAGTGAAGGGTAGAGAAGTAAGGAAGCTTGGTTCTGTCCATCCATCAGTTGTTGGGATTTTGAAATCTGCAGATGAACATTAACTTGCAGGTTTAAATGGACTAAATCATTGGAGAAGTCCTGCATGTCAGAACTTTTTTTTTTCACCATAAGGTTTTACCATAAGACATGCTGATTATACACTGTTCACATGCATTTAGAAAATATATGGGGTGAATTTTCAATCATTTTCCAAACATCATACTAACCCTGCCAGACACAGTTTTTTTTTTACCTTGAGATAGCGATGACTACTCTGACAGACGTTCTGAAGCGGTTTAGAGGTCTGGAGACCTGCGATTGGCTTAACGTTGGCTGTGCGCCCATACGGGCTATGAGCGCAAGCGTAGCCTGCTCGCACTCTTGAAACCCTCCCAGTAGCAGCAGCAGATAGCGCTTCTGATACACCAGCGACTTCCTGTAACTCTCTGCTCGCAGGTATCGCTCATAGAGCCGCTGTACCTACAGGAACAGGTTCATAAAGCAAGCAGTTCCAACGGTTTAGAATCACATTTATAAAAGAAAAAAAGTCAGCTTTGATTTCACGAATATTTTCAATAATTGACATTTATTTAATTAATGGACTAAGCTTTTTCATTAAAATACACTGGTAAAGTAACGTGTGGGACGTTTTTATTGAAAGTAGAGACAGGTCTACTACTTCATAGGGACAGATAGTACGTTGAAGCGATTTACCTTGTTGTTTGAGAGGTCATTGATAGGTCTGTTCTCATTGCTAGCTGTAAATCTTGACAGTTCAGCTTCTGCTTTTCGCAACGCAGTCTGAAGAGCCGCCTTTTCCTTTTGCCAGGCCAGTTTCTCCGATGACACGCACTGCTTTGTAACAGGAGGAGACTTCACCTGACCGGACACAGAAATGCACACACAACTAAAATCAAAACATTGACATACTAAACATTAACACATACACATTCCCTCAGATATCCAGATATATGACCCCATAGAAATGAACTGCAATTTTCTGCATGCAAACATTTTGCAATTGGTTGCACTGTCTTGCTTGCTGTTCAAAAAGGTCCACCGTTAATAATAAATTAAGATTACCTGCTCCTGGTGCCTGAAGCTTTGCAGGTCTCTCTCCAGACAGGATATGGTGTGTTTGAGGGCGATCTTCTCCTCACTCAGAGCAGCGAGACACTCAGAGAACTCAGAGTTCTCCTTCAGCAAACGCTTCATTAGAGAGGGATTAGATGAGGTAGAGTCCTATGGAACACAGGATCAAATATATTACAAAATCAGACATGTTTTGCTTGCTTACACAAACAACTGTCGCAATAAAGTCCCGTTCATACAAAGACAAGTGTTCAGCAGGAATATGGCGTCAAAATGCAATTTAAATTTTAAACGTATGACTGTTAATGCTTTTGAGCAGACCAAGGGTATTTTAGTAAATGAAAACTGAAACCAAGACAAAAGTAGTTGATCAGAAAACATTTTTGTAGAGGTTTACAGGGAAATGAACCCACCTGTCATGCACGTCTCTATAGTACTGCAAGTTTGACTAAAATAAAACGCGGTGAAAAGATATTGAGGCTCGGCCGTCTTCGAGTCCCAGGTTATTTATATGCAGTTGTTTACGGGTATAAAATAAGCAAAACATGACAGTTACAATCATGATTATGGTTAAGTAAGATAACATCTAATATAACTAAATTATATTTATCTTTTAGTCTAGCACTTTTATATATGAAAGTTTATATTATGAACAGATTTATATTAGCCTATAAATACACATGAATGTATTTACATGTGCATGTCCAGATTCTCTATATCATACTATCACACTCTTTCCATTGTCTGGTACTCAGGGTTTTACTGTAACACGTACAGTCAAGAGAGTGAATTTACACATTCATTGAACCCATCTGATATTTTCCCCCTGCATTGGTTTAAAATGACAAAAAAAATAAATAAAATAAAATCACATGCGAAATCTGAATTTGTGCCGAACATCTCTGTTGGTTTCGTACTAACACAGTACCACAAATCTATTTTTCCTTATTTTAAAAATGTCATACAACTCATAAATGCCATACCCTTTCATCTGAGTGAAATCCTGTGGGAATCAGTATTTTAGGGTTAGGTTTGGGTTTAAAATACGACAGTACAGGTCTGTCGCACAGGTACTTGATACCCATACCAAATTTAGCAATGAAGAATGTTACCTGAGGGATGTTTGCAAGTGTGTTCTGGGTGAAGGTCAAGCCATTGGAGTGTGTGTCTCTCCGCACGCGTTCTGATGTGAGCCGTTTCTCTTCCTGCTCCAGGTCAGCAAGCGTCTGCTGCAGCTGCCTCAATCTCTGCTGATCCTTCTGACGCAATAACTCCAACTCCATCTGAGAGAATAAAAAAAAAAAAAAACTTTTAGAACACTGACGTTATGATGCTCACATAAAAAAAAAAAATAAATAAATAAATAAATTAAAAAAAAAAAATAAAAAAAATCGAAAAATGAATCAAAAATTTTTTACACAATGGATGCACGTTCTCGTCTTTTTTTTCTTTCTTTTAATCATAACCATGTTGGGCTGCGTGTCTTTCTTAAATGCATCAACTGAGAATGCCTAATGTTGGTTTGATTACTTGTGTTACATGAAAATAAATAATTTGTCTACCTGATGCAGTTTAATTTAATGCGGTTGTCAAAAAGGTCGGGTACGGAATTAAATTAGTGTTTAATTGTCGGATAACGAGTCGGGTGTCCTGCAGGTATAAATGAAAAGAATTAATCACCAGTTTCTCATTGGTGCGTTCCTGCCGCCGTTCCTTTTCCAGCTGCTCCTGTTTCTCCTGTCTCCTCCTCCTCTCCATCTCCTCCTCCCTCTCTTTCACCACTCTCATCTTTTCCTTCATCACATCCAGCTCCACTTGTAAGTGAGCGGCCCTCTCTCGCTCCGCCTCTAGAGTGCGCCCGACCTCCGTCTTCTGAGTCTGCAGGCCCTCCAGAGCAGCACGGAGCCTCCTCACTTCCTCCTGCTCCTTGTGTGCCTTCCGCTCGGCCTCCTCCGCTTGCCTGCGCTTTCCTTCCAGGACCTGCCCTTGCAAACGCTCCAACATGGCTGCCAGGTCTTCTCCCTGACGCCTCTCGTGTTCTAGTTGTGCCCGTAGGTCCTGAATGAACTTTCTGTCGTGGGCACTGGCCGCTTCCTGTCTGCGGGCTTCCTCCTCTAAACGCCGTGCGTGTTCCTGGGCCTGGCGAGAGAGTGAATCCGAGAGCTCCGCCGACCGAGAGCGTTCCTCCTCCAAGCGGGAGAGTGCAAGTTCAGTACGCTCTCGCTCCTGGGCCATCAGGGCCTCACAGCGAGACTGCTCGATCTGGAGCTCAGAGCGCAGGTTACTGCATGTGATGCTCTCCTGGTTCAGAGCGGAGTTAAGCTGCTTGACATGTGACGCTTGCTCGTTCAAAGCCTGGTGCAAAGACTGTTTAAACAAAATGAAAAGAAGAGAAAAAAATAAATAAAACAAAACGCGTTAGGGCAAATTATCAATTTGAACAGCCATTTATACATATTTAACATGGGCGTAGGAGCCGTTATACGTGGGGGGGGGGGGACATGTCCCCAAGTTTTGTCCCCCCCACTATTTCCCAATATAAGATTTTGTTTTGCATTGCCTGCCCATCTCTGCCAATTTTGGAGTCTCCCAATTAATCCATTCTGCAACTTTTAAATACATAATTCAATTTTTAAAAACGGCCCAAAAAATTTTAATATATATATATATATATAAATATTTAAAATTAAATAACAAAGACTTGGTTGGTATTTTTCTCAGGAGATGTTAAGCGTTTTACTTCAGACACCGGATTATCAGCAAACTGCCAAGAGAACTGCTAGCTGGCTAACGTTACTCAAAATAAACTAGCAATCTATTCAGTCAGCATATTTGTGTTTGATCTGTGTGAAAAACTTGAAATATAATTGCTAGACCTACTTTTAGCTACCAAGCAACCTTTCCACAAGGGATAGATTTATTATGTTTTTTAGTATTTTATAGTTAATGGAAATCAAATCAACCATTTATTTGAGTTAATCAGTACATGACTGATTAACAGTAATGTAAATGCCCTAATACATGTTGATACTACAACAACAATGCAAAGTATATGTTCTTAACCTTGCAGTTTTTCACATATCATGCAAGACTCAATTTCTCCATTTTTTTGCACAAAACTCTCCAGAAAGTGTCATTTAATGGTTTATTTTTCAAAAAATTTTCCCGGGGGGCATACCCTCGGACCCCCCTAGCATTGACTGTCCCCCCCAGGTTCAGAATTGCTCCTACGCCCCTGATATTTAACCATCGCAGTGATACACAATCCAATATAGTAATTTGGATAGTCACTGCATCAAACAATTAAAAATTAAACAAATAATTCTCAATATCACCACATAACTCAAAGTTAAATTAACAACAAATGATATATTCATACATGCACTATACTCTCGTAAGCTATATGCTATATAAAGTTAGAGCTATATATAATTTACAACAATATAAACAATCAGTCAAGTCAAATATATTTATATAGCGCTTTTCACAATACAGATTTGATCAAAGCTGCTTCACAGCATCAATCAAGACAACTTAACTGTGTTTGTTTACTCATGAAAAAAAGACACTCAAGTTTGGTAGAGCTGATCAATGGTATGATGGGTCATTTAATTTGAATATCCCCAACTGAAACCGGCTTTGTGCAACAGGCCACAGATTTAATTGGTTTGGTCAACTCGAAACTTATCCCGTAACCCTGAGTTTGTTGAACAACCATTAGGGTAGAAAAAAAGATGCCGCGAGCATGACATCATATCAGAACTGTTGCAGTGCCTGTACAAATTTTGCTTGCACAAGTCTAATTCTGCAGTCACAGACAACAATCAGTTGAGTGATTCAATGGCTCATTCACAACACACAAAACAAAGAGAGCCACCACACACTGGAAAATGTACTGAACAAATCAGAGAATGAATCAGATTTTTTTGTTGTTGTTGGTGGCGGTGGTGAACTGATTCACTGAGATTAATCAAAATCCCAACCAAAAGAAGGTTTGTACATCAAAAATGTGCATTACCTCCTGATTTTTGTGGTTTTGCTCAATTGTTTGTTGATTGTTGAGTTTCTGCTGCTGAAGGTCTTCTTGCAGTTCCTGTACTCTGGCCTGCTCTTTCTTCACTGCCTCTAGACAGGCCTGATGCTCAGCCTCATCATGTTCCTGCTTCAGCCTTAAGGTAAACATTTATATATATAAAAAAAGGTTACGTCATACTACTTATTCATTTTCAATGGGGTGCATGCACAAGTTTGCCATACCTGAGCTTGTGAATTTGGCTCTTTAATTCCTCTTGAATGTTGTATGATGACTGAAGCTGAAGTCTGGTCTCCTCTAGCTCCGCCTTCAGCACTGACACAGCCTTTAGCTCTGCCTCTAATTGTCTCTGTTGCTCCAGTCCTTTACTCTTTTCAGCCTCCAGTGTGGAGCACAGATCATTTGACAGTGTCTGTTCCTTTTGCAGCTGCAGTTCAAGCTCTTCAACTAAAGCATTGCACAAAGTTAAAATTTGACCGATTTTGTTGTTTTTTTAATATTTGCTGTCAATTGTTTTCCACTTTTTGACCATAGATGACACTGAAATATTTACCATCTCTATGCAGCTGATGTTGCGATTCCATGCCATGTTCTTTTGCAGTGTGAAGCGAATCCTGTAGCTGTCGCAGCTGTTCTTGACTCTGCTGGCTGCTTGCATGCAGGCTGCGCACCTCAGCCAAAAGACTGTGATGGTCTGCGTTGAACAGCTGCTCTAAAGATCTCCACTGCTGCTCCTCCTGAAAGAGAAAGGGTTAATGAAAAACAGGAGCACTTGATCGGTCAAGATTAAGATGAGAGAATATGAATGGTGTGGAAACAGCATCACATGCTGGGCTGCTCAGCACCTGCTTCTGAAACAGTTTCTTCAACTCGTCCAGCAAAGGGGTGAGGTCCGTCTGAGTGCTGGATGTCATGAAAGCCTGAAGCTGAGAGTGAAGCCACTCCCGTTCACTGTCAAACACACTGCGGACCGCATGCAACAGCTCGCGCCTCCAGTCCACGTCCCCACTGTCAGTCTTCATTGCGTATACACAAACACAAAAATTAAAATACAAAGGGGACTGTTGACCACACATATGAAGACCAAAACTCTACACCCATGTTACATCTTTACCCCGACAAAGCCTAATCAACATGATCAAAACTTGTTGTACACAATCTTTTAAAAACCTTTTGTCATCTGAGTTTTTTTTTTTTTTAATATTATATTTTCAAAGTAAAAAAAAAGAAGAAAAAAAAATTGAAAGCAAGGCTGTGAGGGATAGACCTGCATCTCTTCAATGGGTTGTATTGTTATTTAATGTGTTTTTGGATTGTTCTGCTCATGTAACACTGGAAAAATATCTTTCCAAGAAATTTCACTTGACAAAACTCTTTTTTTTTTTTTTTTTTTTAATTTTTGAAAATTATAAGTGCCGGTAATCTAGGAGTTTATACAGCGGATGCCATTGGAAACACCGTAAGTCTATTCCTCACAGCCTCACTTTCTGTCATGAAGCTGCTCTGAATGAGGTTTATTGGTCATCCTTTAAGCACGCACATGTGTTTTACAAATAAACACTACATGTGCAAGTGTCTGGCCATACACAAAGCCACAATACCAACTTAGATGACAGTGTTTATTTAAAAATATGAGGAGATTCCACTTGACAGCGACAATCTGTAAATTTGTTGTTTTATCATCAACACAATCATATAGCGACCTATATGACCGGACTTAAGCTCAAGTTTCACCTTAAATGCAAGTACTACATTTAATAAATGACAGAGCAATTCATCACATCAAATATTCTACTCTTTAATGTTATATTTCAAAATTACAAATCTTTTTGCATTTTGAATGTGTCTGGTCGAAATGGTAAAATGATATATTGTGTGGTCTGGGACATTGTGAACAACTAGACATATTAGAGTATTAAGGTGTGTGTGTGTGTGTTTGTACACAAATATATTTTTGCTTTTTCCTTGACATCTTTGAAAAATACAAACGCAATGGCAATTATCAATTTTTTGTTTTGACATGATATAAAATATTACCCAGAGCACTATATTATATATATATATATATATATATATATATATATATATATATATATATACACACACAAACTTCACTTTGTGTGCCTACGCCTTGTATACAATGTTACATATAAAGCTTACAGGACAACTGCCTTTTCAGCATGAGAAATACACGATGTGAGCATGTGAACTGGTTGAATTGCATATGTCTCATGGTCAATGCGTGAGACTTGAGAACCCTGTGTTTCACTTGGACGTGGTACAATACCGTCACTACTTCAGTTTCATTGTGACTTGTGATCTCACCTTGGGTTCCCTGTCAGCCATCCTGCAGAGCAGCTCTCTGAGCGATAGGATGGTCTCCTGTAAGGCCCGTCTCTCCCTCTGCCAGGAGGGGGGCGGAGCAGGCTCAGAATCTGGCCGAGACTGGCCCGATGGGGCAGGGCGGTGGGACAAAGACAGGATTCTGCAGCTTTCCTGGTAGACACGTTTCAGCATAGCCTATGCGTGGTACAGACAAATACATAATCAAATCATTTCTTTATGTATGAGTGAGGGTAGCATTGTGAAGACTGTTTACCTGCAACTCAGGTGTGAGGGCCTCATGGCTTTCGTTCATGCTGCCAGCAGCGCTATCTGTGTTTTGAGCAGGTGACATTCCTCTGCAGCGCAGATACTCCACAAAATGAGCATCTAAACGCTCCGTATTCTCCAACTCGAGCTTCAGCATGGCCTCCAATTCTGAGCTCACGTCTACACGCACACAAAAATACACTTCAGATAACTCCAAACACGTGCAGTCTTGTCTTTCACAAACTCATGCATAAACACAACTCACTGCTGCCGTATCCATCGCTGACCCACTCCGGCACAGACTCCGGAGAGGTGGAGCCAAGTGGAGACCGAGATAGCGTTACATCCGAATTGTTCGATTCAAGAACCTTAAAACATAGCCCCATTATCACACCATTAGGTTGCTAAACAATGTCAAAACTAGCATGTGTTACAACAACTCCAACTATAGACACTTTCCACAAATTCAAGAAAAATCATAGGGAATCACAAAGAGTGAGAATTTTTAGATCTGTGCGATAAACTATATATAAAAGCATATTTTAGATCTGTGCAATAAACTAAATATAAAAGCAAAATATATGGTTTCACACCCATGAAGTAACAATTTCTTGTAAGAAAACCACATTTAAAATGACAAATGTTATTTTCTGGCATTAGGACTGGGCTAAATAAATCAATATTTTTGATTTATAGAAAGAAAGAAAAGAAAGAAGGTTCATGATACAGAAACTCAAATGTCCTGCAAAATAAAACTTAGAGAAATTATAAAATTACAGAACTTAATATTTATTAACAATTTAATGTATTCCTATTTCATCGGTTTTAAAATCTACTGTATATAAGCAATCATTTATTTATAAATTAATATATATATTGGTGGGGTGATGGGATGGATCATATCCCCAGCCTCAGACACATAAAAAAAAAAAAGTTAAAACATTTTTTTTTTTGTGCGTGTGTGATGGGCCGAAAAAAACAATGAATTGTTTTACTCTTGAGCCCTGGTACATTTCTTTTGAAAAGTTGAATGCATGCTTACCTTTACTGCATCCAGCGAGTCGAGCACAGAGAGGTGTTCGGACAAAGAAAGCGAGCATGGGGATGCAGAGTGTGTGATGGCTTGGACTTCCTCTGAAGGTGGGATAAACATTTGTCTGCCGTGTAGTCTCTCCTTGTCCTGCTCCATGGGTGAAGCCTTGCTGTGGAGCTCCAGGCTGGCGTTGTGTAGAGCGCTGAGCTCCGAGAGATGAGAAACCTGCAGACGAGAGGGCCGCTCTTCGCTGCAGTCCAACCTTCGCAGAACTTCTGGGGAAGACAGGGAGGCGGAGAGGGACGGGTCACGGGAAAGGCCTTCGAGGAAGCAGTGGACGTGTTTGGGATGGTGGTCCTGCAGGTTGCAGCGCTGTCGGAGCTGCTCTAGCTCCCTCTGCTGATAGGCCAACTCTTCTTCCTGCACAGCCAGATCATCCTGTAGACTCCGCAGCTCTGCCTTCAGGTGCTGGTTATGGACCTCGAGATCAGCTAATGCGCGATCTTTCGTCTGAAGGTGAAACGTCAAATCAGAAAACTTGATTTTTTGCTGCCATGTTGAATGTCCGTGCCATGCTTAATGCTACGCTTCTAACTAAGGTGTCATTTATACCACAAATTACATAAAACTGTTACAATTTAAAAGCAGGCAGCATAATGAAATTACATGGCACTATGGAATACTCAATTCTATCAAAGTATTAGTTTACCCAAAAAAGTCAATACTGTCATTAATTACATCATGTTGTTACAAACCCAAAACACTTCATCTTCAAAACACAAATTAACATGAATGAAATTTGAGATTTGTGTCCCTCTATTGAAAGTCCACTTCACCAAAACTTTGGTGCTTCAAAAAAAAATGCATGAGATTGTAAAAGTAATCCATATGAGCAACCCATCTCTTAGGTTTCATTAAAAATGTAATTAGATGGGTGAAAGTCTTGAAGTCTTTGGAACAGTATGCTGATGAGTAATGACAATTTTCATTTTTGAGTGAACCAACCTTTAATATTAGTATTAATTAGGGCTGTCAAACAATTAATCACATCCAAAATAAAAGTTTGTGTTTACATAATATATGTGGGTGCACTGTGTATAATTATTTTGTATTTTATATACACAAACACACACACACACACACATATATATACAGATATACATATGCATGTATCTTTATGAAAAAAATATTTATATAAAATACTTGTATATAAAAAATACTTGTATAAAATACTTATATACAATATAAATTTATAAAAATCTAAATATACAGAATATATACTTAAAATATTTCTTAAATATATGCAACAATGTGTGTGTATTTATATATAAAAATATATATATATAAATACAAATTAGCAACAACCTCCTTTTTAAAAGTGTAGTCTCTAAACTTTGACAGCCCTAGTATTAATGTAACTAATATTATTGAAGTATTTTGTTGCTAGGGTGATTGCTTAATAATGTGGATAAATGATAATATACAAGTAAGATTGTAAAATAATTTTGAACTAAAAATCAATGTGTAACAATTAAAATGCTACAAAACTAAACCTACTTTGACAGTGATCATGCTATCAGGTTCATGACCAGGCGACTATATTTTCTCTCACTTGGTGAACTATTAGCCAGTGAACTCGTTATTTTGCAAATCATGTATTTGCAAATACATTACTTAAAAAACAAGACTTTGGCTATAAAAAGGCAAGTCCTAAATTAGAAAATAAATAAATATTTTAACAGATGAACTTGATGATATCTTAAGATGTGGATCAATTAAGGAAATGAACTACTGCACATACCTGTCCCTCTTCCAGTAGCTTCTCCGCTCTCTCTGTGCTGGTACTAAGACCCTCCTTCACTGCTGTTAGCTCCGCCCTTAAAGCATCATGCTCCGCCCTCAGGTGGCTCAGCTGCTGTTCCCTCTCAAGTAAAGCAGTCTCAGCTTTAGCCAAGGTCTCTTCAGCACATGTCTGCAAACATAGAAACATAACAGTCCTTTACACCACTCACTCAAAATGCATTACATCAGCTGTTTCAAGCTCGCTTTAGCTAAAGCTATGCTATGAAAAATTAGCAACAACCCCATTTTTAAAAGTTTAAATCCGCAGCAAGTCTCTTGTAAACAAACTATTCCCAACTAGCTAGTAAACCTGTAAAGTTGGACATTATATATTAGGAATCTTTCAAGTTAAAGCAACCAGGGTTTTGCCTTCTGTTCAATCAACAAACACAACAAACAACAAAAAGTACTCTTGTACTCACTAGCTAGAAACAGTTATTTGATAAAATACCTCTCCATTGTACTCAGAACCCAGCAAATAGAAATAGAGCGGCTCTCCACCTTACGTTGCGATTAACCAATCTAAAATTTAGATCAAGCTTAAAAATAAACTGTTTAAAAGACTTCAGACAGACTTCCTCTTTGAAATGTTACTTCCTGTGTGAAACTCTCCTCTTGTGTGCCAGAGGGCTGGACTAAATCAGTTTGTTCTCATTCCTCCCCTTTTTATCCTGCTGTAATTTCAGGCACTACAGTGACCGCACACATAACATTGTTGATCTGCGATTAATTAAAGACTCTGGAAAGCTTAAGGGGATACTCCACTTTTTGGGGGAATAGGCTCATTTTACCACTCCCCCAGTGTTAAACAGTTGGGTTTTACCGTTTTATAATGTATTCAGCTGATTTTTTGATATTTAGAAGATTTTAGAAGATTTCTGGTCTCATTGACTTCCATAGTATTTTTTTTTCCCTACTTTGGAAGTCAATGAGACCAAAAACTGTCTGGTTACTGGTATTCTTCTAAATATCAGAAAATCGGCTGAATGGATTTGAAAACGGTAAAACTCAACTGTTTAACTCTGGGCGAGTGGTAAAATGAGCCTATTTCCCAAAAAAGTGGAGTATCCCTTTAAAAACCAAAAGGCAACTTCCCAAATAATTCACTGTTAACATCACAGGACATGGAAAAAGTTTACAGTCCAAGTTCATAACAATTACATTGTGTTTGTATTGCTCAAATTCCACCACAAAGAGAATGAAATATATATATATATATATATATGACACACAAGAGCAAGCATCTCACCAGTACTTCTTTTTGGGCTTCCCCTTGTTTAGCCACAGTCTCCTCCTGTTGCTCATGTAGTTCTTTTATGTAGTTCATCTTTGATGTCATTTCCTGTTTCAAGTGCTCTATTTCCTCCTGGAGATATCCCTCCCGTTTTCTCAGAGCCTCTCTCTCCATGTACAGTTCTCTTTTGCCGGTCTCCAAGGCACTGACATTGGCTCTGCCTACTTGGACGTGCTCCTCAAGCTCTGTGACCGTGGATTGTAAAGCGGCCAGCTCATTCTCATACCGCTCCTCTTTGTGCTGCAGCTCTGAGACCTGTTTTTCCAGAAGCTCCTTCTCGACCCGCTGGTTCTTGGCCTCCTCTAGCAGCCTGTCAAGCTCCTGCTGGACCTCATCTTTTCTCTCCTCCACCCTTCTGAACTGGAGCTCAGATTCTCTCATGCTGGACTGATGAGCTCGCACTGCATCTTCCAACTCTTCCACACGGGCCGCCAATCGCTCAGCTTCTGTCCGTTTCTCCTCTAGCAGTACTTTCAGCTCATTTGCCTCCTGTTCCAACAGGACCACCTTTCCCCTTTCCTCTCCAAGACTCCGGCCAAGCGCCTCCACCTGACTTCCATACTGTTCCTCCTGGGAGAGCAACAGCTTCTGAAGAGAATCCTTCTCCCCGGCGGCACTTTCCAGCTCAATCTTTAACTCCTGCAAGCGAGCACGAGACGACTGCAGCGTGTGGCTGCTGAGCTCCTGGCACAGGCTTTCCTCAGATGCCCTCTGCTGGCGGGGATGAGCGGACCAGGGAAAGTCTGATGACTCTGCGCTGTCAGTGCTAGGGTCACTGATCTCATGATGGTTGGGGTCAAGTTGGCTCAACTCCTCTTGAAGCTTGTTAATAACCTCATGGAGCTGCTCGGTCTCCTCTTCCTTTGCCTGCCGTAAACGTTCCTGGTCACAACGGAGACGTTCGACCTGAGAGCGCAGCTCTTCTATCTCAGCTTGCTTTTCCTCTAGTGTCTGAAAATGGTAATGAGGATCAGTTACAAGTCTTCAAACTAAGCAAGACACTAAACCTTAGATCTACTTGCCTTGTGATAACTGTATTTCAAGTCACTTTTGATTATACAATTAGCTAAAATGTCCATTAAAAAGGTGCAGAAAGAGAGCAATGAAGTTTTAGAAGCATGAAATGAGATATGTCCGCTTCCTGAATATTAGGTATGGGAATTTAAAGAAATGTTTCAGATCCGTCATTATTCTAGTTACATGAACAATTCTGTCTATATTTCTGAAGAAGTTGTGTGTGTGTGTGTGTGTGTGTGTGTGTGTGTGTGTGTGTGGGTTGGGATATAAAAAATAAATATGACAAATGTAATAATTTAAAAAAGGTTTGTTTAACACAAAGCTTTTCACAGATGTAATTAAAATAAATCTTATATTACTTTTTATATATACACGTTTTATTAACTAATATTAAGAAAGATAAATAAATACTGTAACAATTGTATTGCTCATAGGTTCATGTTAAATTAATGTTAACAAATAAATAATTATATTGTTAACACTTCACAATGTTTTATCTATACTAGGCTTTTAATTATGGTTACTACATGACTCGACCAAGGATTGTTACTCTTATAGTTAAGTTATTGGGTCAAACTTATTCAGTAACAGCTCCGAGTGATTTTATGTTTTTGAATCGCTAAAAATGTTTGGGCCCATATGTATAAAACTTCTCAGAAATTATCTTAAATATAGTCTTAAACTTTGACTTAAGAGTCAAAAAAGTAAGACTTTTCTAAGAGTAGGAGATGTTTATAAAACAGCTAAAAGACTGATACTTAAGTGCTGATTGAAAGTGTGTTCTCCTCTCTGCTGCCATCTTTTTACTCCTAACTAGGTTAGGAGATCTCTCCAGCGCTCTTAAATAATTTAAGAGTTGAGATCAAGTCTTGACACTTATGAACATTTATGAATCCCACTTATTCTTAAGTTTAGGAATAAGATTAAAATGATGCCTATCTTAGAATTGACAAAATTAAGACAAAAAATTTACTTTGAGCAGCTTTATGCATACGGCCTCTGATGACTAAAAGTTATGTTTAGGAATCGGACACGCTGACACTTGTCATACCTTATTATTGTTGGTCATGTCCAGCTCCTGCTGCAGCTGGAGGATCTGCTGATTTAAGTGGTCGATCTCCATATTCTTCTCCTCCAGAAGGGCAGAAGGTAGCTGAAGGATGGATTCGTCGCTGCCCTCTTCTAGCCGCCTTGTCAGAGTGTCCACAGTCTCCTAAAGGGCAGACACAATGAGGACCCTTTCACATTATCCATAAAACTCCCCAATCACATTCTCTGAAGGTACTGTGCTATGAAAACAATTTATCCAAGGTCGTGAACATACTGGCCACTAGCACCCTAACTTCGATACGATACCTTGAAAAATATCGATATTCGATACCATTTTCGATACCACAGAGAAAAAAACTACCACAATATTAAGGGGGGAGTTTTTTTTTATTTAAAGCTAAATATAACAAGTCTAGAAAATGACAATGAGGTACATTTTACATGAACAAAAATGTCCCGAGTTCTATTTGTTCATTTTTTTTAATTGGACCAGAGCTAACATTATCCGTTGTATTTTTTTATTACCTACTGTTATCAAAGATTAAAATATACTGTAACATAAAAGCACTTAACAGTATCAAATTGGAGGATAGAGTGTCAGTAATGTATAATAATAAGATTAAACATTTAATTTTCAGTTAAAGGCATTTCATTATTGAATTAAGAGATGCCATTGTCTGTTTAGTTTAATTAGTATCTGTGTAATCAAATTGACGATAATCGCTAATGAACGCAAATTGTAGAATTAAATAAAGTTAAATAGGCACAAGCTAATTTACATTTGACCACAGTTACAATATTTACTTGTCTAAGATTCCTCAGTCAGATTATGTTAACTTTAAGAAAACGGTGAAAAAACTAGACAACACAGACTCATTTCAACAACAATACTAGGCCATCTTGGTTAATGTTTCAGAAAAGTTCAAATGAAAAGAGTTAGTGTTTCCTTTAGGATTTTAATTAGCAGTGAGGGCAGGTCTGTACAAACAACAAACACCCCTGATGCTGAGCATATATGCTGCTAAATGGTACCTCTGGAACCTGTTTCTTAAGTCTGTTTTTATTCTCCAACATGCCTGCTCGCGGTGTGTAGTGCGTGTCCGCACTATTCTCCGAGATGCCTGCTCGCGGTCTGTTTTTAATGCGTGTCCGCGCTATTCTCCGATATGAACTTCACTTTTGCTATTTAACCAGAGCGAATGAGATGAGTGCGTCATGTGTGGTGTTTGTCAACACGCCTTTGGAGAGAAGTGAAACTGAAAGTGACCGCTCGGCTAGTATCGATACTTCGGGAAATTAATATTGGTCTCGTTCAGATATTTCAGTATATATAATTATCGAAATATCGATATTTTTGACAACACTACTGGCCATCATAATATAACTAGCAGACTACAGTCATTATACAACTATACTGAGCCAGAGCCTTACCTGCAGGTGTGTGATGTGAGCATGGAGCTGTTCTTCTGTAGCTCTGCTCTCTCTGTTTTTTAGCTCCAGCTGTAGTGTTAATTGTCCGAGCTCTTCCTCCCTCACTACCACATCCTTCTCAAGCTCACTTATCCGCTCCGACAGCAACTCCACCTAAGAGACAAAATATTTCAATGTAACAAAGAAATACCATAAAGTGGGCAAGAATTTTTTTTTTATCTTAATCTGAGGTTTTGTCTCAAATAGAAACCATACAAATGTTCACAGTTTATTTTTGACAATGCCTGGTATGTTGCCTGACAATGCCTGACAATGCCAGAGTGTAATGTTGCTGCTAAAATCAAATGTGTTCTCATTGGCTCCAATTCTCATTTCCATAGCACTTTACAATACGGGTGCACTAATATGCATTAATTCATGCTTAACTAATGCACAGATAACCATGAGTTAATATAACTCATGAAGAACTAAACCATTAATTAATGATTACTGCATCAGCAACTAATAAAGAGTCTAAATGATTAACAGATTAAGTAATACATGATTTTCTATATTCCTTAATAACATATTTTATTAACTAATAGTGTAAATTAATGTGTTAATTACCACAATTAGTCAAAGCTATGCACTTCAACTTCCAGTTGTCTGCTTTAATTAATCATTAGCTAATGATTTGCAAAGGTATCATTATGTTATGACTTTACTTGTTGGGGCACAATCACATCATTATTAACTGGTCAATTAGTAATTGTAGTAATTTGCACATGAATTTGCATTAACAATGAAGTAATTAATCATGTATTAATGCACATTAGTGTACCGGTCATTATCTGGATGTTGATACAAATAATGAAATACAAAGCTTTGGCTCATTCTGGTAATTAACATATTAATTGACACCATTAGTTAAAAAAAATAGTTATTATGGAATCAATCCACAATTACATATTTAATTAATAACAATTCATGTATGAACTAATACATTAACCTTACATAATCTTAACTAGTTCCTAATGTGGTGATCATTAATGAATAGCTTAGATAATCATTAGTTACACATTAATTCAGTATTATCTGTGCAGTAGTTAAGCATGAATTAATGCTTATTAGTGCACCTGTACTGTAAAGTGTTACCAAAACATGTTGCACCTACAGCTGTTAGACCACGGTGTTGCGTCATGTACTCTTAAATAAACTCTAAAGGCCCCAATATAATTCAAGTTAAATAATGAACAGTATAATACCACAATATCTGTAAAAATAGCTATAATAAATATGGAAGTCGCTGCAATCGGTGTGGCTCTTTTTTCATATATCATAAACTGACTCTTAATAAAAAACGCTGTTGTTTTATCTTACATTCAGGAAACGGAATTGTGTGATACTTCGAGTAGGGAATTAAACCAAATCATTCAGATGACAGACTTGGCTCAGGCACTTCAGAACGGTCAAACCAACAATAGAGAAGCTGTGCAAAACATCCACTGTTGAGCTAAAGTCCCATGTGTTTGTTGTGCATCAAGAGGTTTATTGGGGAAATGTGTTTCCATTATAGTTTATGTTCATGTCTTATTAGATAAATTGTTTAGAATTACTGGCATATTGGTGATTCCATCCAGCATTTTATGTTTAATGGTGCATAAAATAGATAGCTTTAAAGAAATATATAAATAAATATGGCTTGACTAGAGTGCCGAATTGCAGAGCTTGTGCAAACATATCCATCATTAAATGCATACTCCACTTTTTTTGGAAATAGCGCTCATTTTACAACTCCCTCAGAGTTAAACAGTTGAGTTTTACCGTTTTCGAATCCATATTCTTCTAAATATCAGAAAATCGGCTGAATACATTAGAAAATGGTAAAACTCAACTGTTTAACTATGGGGGAGTTGTAAAATGAGCCTATTTCCAAAAAAAGTGGCGTATCCCTTTGAATGTCGTTCTCTCACCACTGTCATTTTTGTTGTGTGCTTATTTTGTTGTAATTGAGAGTAAAGTGCATTGCACATATTTCCATATTCATCTAATCGCCACTCTCAGCAGTGTTGGGATGTCTGCTAGCAGTATACCACTGCAAAGGCATTTCAAACTTTTTACCCATAAGCAAAGACTGAAAATGAACCAAGTATTTTGTTCAGAAAACTAACCTAAATACCTCTATATTAAAGCAAATGCAAACTTGGATAATGTTACTCTGATTAATCATGACCGTCCACAAATCTCTTTCAATCTGCTTAATCCTGTGCTGATATGCACGCACCTGTTGTTCTTTGGTCTGCAGATCCTGTTGTGTAGCTTCCAGCTGTTCCAAGAGGTTAGGGTCAGGGGTCATATCAGGGAAGCGGTGTCTGGTTTCATCGAGTTTGGACTGTAGGGCAGAGATCTGGAGCTTATTAGCATACTGCTGCTGCTGCAAAGCTTCTTTATCCTGAAAGAAAGAACACACAGATCAGAATGGGTTAGAACTACAGATATTGGTGCAAAATGGAAAATTAATTGAATTAATTAACTGAAGCAGTGACTAGACAACCTAATTCGGGGCTTAAATGTGAGGCAGGGGGGTTCTATAAAATCAGAATACATGCAAGACACATCTGAACTTGTACGTGTAGTTTTGTGCACCTGTGTGAGCTCCTGAAGGTTCTTGCGTGCTTTCTGAAGTTCTTGCTCCAGCTGTGTGACAGTTCGGCTGGCCTCCGCACAGCTCAGTAACGCCTGCTCCAACTCACGGATACGAGTTGTCAATTTCTCAATCTCTTCATTACGCTCTTCCACTTCAAGCTGGCACTGCTCTTTTGCTGACAACAGTATACTATAGTCTTCCATCTTATCCTTGATCAGAGCCTGAAGGTTTTCCACCTGTACAAATTACACGAATAGAGAATATGGACCCAAATAGAGCGTGTGTGAATATTTTAATACAAATCAGGGCTGAAGACTTACATTTGAGAGAAGGATCACCGTTGTTAAATTTACCATTGTTCTTCTATATTATCTACAGTATACTGACCGACAGCGTCAGTGGTTATAAAAGGAGCACATATTACTTTGTGTAATTCAGTTGCAATCAAAGATTAAAATAATAAAAAAGAAAATTGATTTCTTGACACGGATTATTTTATAATGATGATTTCATAATGTCTAAATGTAAATTCAAAAGCAAACTAGAGAGTGTAAATGGCGAATAAGCCAACAAGTGCTCTTCTGCAGCCATCTACTGGTTAAAGTGGTAATTTAATGTCTTTATTTAATTTTGGGGCTATGTAGTGATGGCACCAATGTGACCTCTATCAAAATGTATTCACAGTGACAGGGAAAAAAAGGTCATTGTGAGGGAATATAAGTGAATAAAACAACAGTTTTTCCAAGGATGGAGACTTTTAAAAAGGCTGCAAGACAATCATACAAAGGAACAGATAAAGACAAGCCAAGATGGACGGTAAAGGCAAAGTCAATCTCTTTTCGCAGCTACTAGATTAGTAAGCAAAGACTTTTGAGAGGAAAGAGGATAAGAATGTGTTTGAGTTTCAATGGGTGGATGAAAGTGGAAAAAAACAATAACATGAGTTAAAGATGCCACTGATGTACTGCAAATCTGCTGAAAAAAGGTTTGACAAGCAAGACAACGTAACGCAAAATAGCTATCACATGCTCTACTACTTTAAACGCTGCATAAGCCATGCATATCTGCTACAATGCCAGCACATTAATGACTACAGCTGGATAACATACCTGAAGAACCAAGTCCTCAATCTACATCATTCAGTTAGGGAGAAAAAAAAAGCATCTATATGAAAATTCAAATCATTCAGAGGTCAGTATCAGAAAGGCTATAGTTTCTGTCACAGAGTATGTGAGCAATGTGGTACAGAAGGGTTTTGCCCGTGAATAGGGATGGGAATCGAAAACCGGTTCCACTCGAGAACCGGTTCTAAATTTTACGATCCATCGATATTGTATGCGCTCGACGTTAACGATTCCTCTTATCGATGCTCCTGCTCTGAGTCAACCAGTATGTAGGCTTCAGACAGTGAACTAACAACTGTCCCTTTGTCCTTTATTAAGCACCAGCACGGCGTCCAAAGCGATTTTTTTTTGTACCACCAAAGCCTTATTTGATCGGTGAGTACCGGTAAAATTGTCTCTCTCTGTAGTTATGAACCGCTGCGCTCGTGACAGGGCTCGTGTTAAACTGAACGAGCAGGGAGAGAGAGAGCCCCGGTCGTGCGCGCGCGCACCTCTCTCTGGCTTCACTGCTCAAAACTAAGCGCTGTCTTGCTCTCTCTTTCTCCCTCGCACATATTAATCAAAATAATCGACACAATAGTAAGGTCGGGAGACTAAAGTTTCATGTGTAGCATTCGGAGTTTTGTTTTTCCTGAATTACCGCTGGGTGTGAATTGTGCTGAAATAGGTCTACGTTGCCTTATCTTCTCTGAAAAGCGGTCCGCACATTTAGCTGACATAAACCACACTTCAAATAAACGGAAAAAACGACCAAAAGATGAAATGCTTTCTGTGATGACACACATCTTGTGTCGGAACGCGCACACGTCTGATAATGACACGTTCAATTCGCGAACTAATGACTCATTTGAACCGATTCGTTTTAATGAATGGTTAAAACAACTGAACTGATCTCCCAACACTGAACTGAACTCAACACTGAACTGAACTCATAAGGTTTCATTTATTATATAAATTACATCAAAAGTACAGTTTACTTAGTCAAGTGTAAGGTTTAAAACAAATAAAACCAATTGTTTCTTTCCCCAAAAAAGCATACGACTACTTTTTCCCACACAGTGCTATCAGGAATCGATAAGAGAATCGTTAAAGAATCGGATCGATAAGCAGAATCGTTAGTGGCATCGATATCGATAAAATCTTATCAATTCCCATCCCTACCCGTGAAGCTTTTTGTGATGTTCTTTCTTGCTTCAAGATCAGTCAGTAATCGCACCATCAAGATAGATACAAGCCTTTTAATAGTCAAAAATGCCACTGCCAGAAAGAATTCAGTGTATTTTACTGTTAATAGACAATTTTTTGAATAAATGTTTTTTGTAATAATTTTATATATATATATATATATATATATATATATAGAGAGAGTATTTATTTATATATAATAATAATAATAAAGTATTTTATATATATATAAATACTAACAGTTTAAAAAAAAACTGTAAATAAAATGCTTTCTATTCAAAGAAGCCTGAAAAAGCATCACTTTCAATTTCCACAAAAATTGAGCAGGACAACCTTCGAAAAGAAAGATTACTTGAGCATCAAATTGGCGTATTAGTATAATTTCTGAAGGATCGTGTGACATAGCGAGGCTGAATTTTCAACATCATTACTCTAGTCTTCAATCACATCACAGAAATAAACTACAGTAAGATATAATAAAATATACAAAAAAAATTGCTCGCATACTCGTCACAGATTATTCACAATCAAACAGTGTCAGGCTGTTCAGACAAGGACACATCTAAGGTGTGACACATCTAGACATTGCCCCTTACCCTTTGACCCTTGCTGTTCCCTCCTGCGTGTCCTTTAGATGGCTGTCTCAGCTGAGCTTCCAGGTTCTTGATTTCCTGCTGAAATTCATCCCTCTCATGCTCCCGTTCCACTGCTTGTTCCTGTACAAGCATAGTCATTTTTTTGCCTGAGCTTACGCCAAGTCTGACATGACTGAAATCAAATTAAGTATAAAATATTCCCATTTTTCTCTCAGCACCAGACAAGGTGCAAGTAGTTTTGGTGCAAAGAACTTACATCTATGAACTGGCGGTTATGTTTGAGCTGTTTCTCCAGAGCATCAATGTGTTGCTGCAGGTCTTCAGTCTGCAGGCGGTGCTGTTCCTCCAGCTGATGTCCACGGCTCTCCTGCTCCTCCAGGGCCTGTTCCAGCATCTGAAGACGGGACGCCAGCCCACCGCAGTCCTTCTCCGCCTGCCGCTGTACCTCCACACACTCCTGCCCCAGACGCTCAGCCTCCGCCAGCAGAGCTGCACAGAGCCCAGGAGGACCAATGAATAAAACGTGCCATAACAGATCTCATCAACAAAACACTCACTCAAACTGCAAAAATGCAAATTAAGATGCAAACATGCACAGGAGCTCCGGATCATTTGTGCATTCTCAATGCACAAATAAAAGCACAGCAAAACTGGATCGAGAAAAAATTGGCAAAGAAAGACTCAAGAAAAATTAAAAACCACTTGAACCTTCAAAACCAAAGGTTTAGAACAAGTTAGACTGCAAAAAAAAAAAAAAAGATCACAGGATAAGCAAGAGCATTAATAAACCACAAATTAAAATAAATAAACTGCAAACTTCATCTGAAATGGATGCATTTAGTGTCCAAAAATGTAGTTATTCTTTTCTCAACTCAAACATTTACGTCAGCCACCGATTATCATCACAAACCTGTGTCTTCCTCTGCGTCGAGGAAGCCTACAGAGCAGAAAGAATTTGTAGGATGAAACTAAACCCTTCCATCATAAGCACACAACCTTAAAATTTCACTGTGTGCAAAGTAACACGCATTTAACAGGCCATGACCCAAACGATAAAACAAATGTTACATAACTGCACGTTATGCAATTCAATCTGGGTATTAAACTAAAGCACGTCAACTAAAACGAAATCTCACCCTTTTCTGTGTCTCCGAGGCTGGCGGTCAGGGCTTCTCTCTGACGCAGGAGGAGGGCATGATTTTCGTTGAGCTGCTGCAGTTGGATGCGTGTGCTCTCCAGCTCCTCTGCCAGACGCTGCTCCTGCGTCTCCTTCTGCTGAAGCGCCTCCTCCAAAATGGCTTTCTCGGCTATGTAGCCTTCCATCAAACCTAGAGCCACACATGTAAATGCACACAAGAGAGTAAATAAGTTGTGAAAGTGAATGGCAGTGAAGTAGGGATACACAAATATTAAACATTCTAAAACATAAAAAA